CTGCATGTGGGCTTTCTCTAGTTGTGGTGAGCGGGAGCTACTCTTTGTTGTGGTGAGCGGGCTTCTCATTGGGGTGACTTCTCTTGTTGCAGAGCACAGGCTCTAGGTGCACGGGCTTCAGTAGTTGTGGCACGTGGGCTCAGCAGTTGTGGCTCGTGGGCTCTAGAGTGCAGGCTCAGTAGTTGTGGCACACGGGCTTAGTTGCTCCGTGGCATGTGGGATCTTCCCGGATCAGGGCTTGAACCCATGTCCCCTGCATTGGCAGGTGGATTCTTAACCACTGTGCCACCAGGGAAGCCCCTCCTTATCATTTAATCACAGCTGTCAGCTCTGGAAACACCTTTGCTAAGGGAAAGCCTTTAAATACTGTAAAGCTTGTAGTATTGGGTTGACAACCAAGAATGTGCAGTGTGCTCACAGTTTCAGTAGGACAATGGAAGGTAAACTGTGGGCTCTAAGATCCATGTAGGGTAAGTGGAGGAAAAATCACCCCAAGGAGAAATCTACTATATAAGAAGATCTAAAAATTCTGCATACTCTTAAATTTTTTAATATTGTTTTATTTTATATATACATTTGCATATAATAAAATGCTCAGACCTTTAATGTTCTTTTATGTTCAGTTCTATGAGTTTTGACAATTAAATATATGTACGTGTGTAACCGCCACCCAAAACAATATATAGAACATTTCCATTACCCCAGAAAATTTCCTCGATCCCTTTCTTGGCAAATCACCTCCTCAACAAGAGCACTTTTTTGACTTCAAACACCAAAAATCAGTTTGTCTGTTTCTGGACTTCATATAAATGGAATTGTACAGTTCATATTCGTTTGCATCTTTCTTCTTTTGCTTAACATAATCGTTTTGAGATTCATCCATGTTGTTAACTGTGTCAGTAGTTCATCCTTTTTTTGTTATTGTAGAATTCCATTGTATGACTTGTCATAATTTGTTATCCCAGTCTCCTGTTGTTGGACATTTGGGCTGTCTCCACTTTTGGGCTATATACAAATAAGGCTGTTATGAACATTTGTGTACAAGTCTATTTGTGGACATATCTTTTCATTTTTCTTGAGTAAATACTTAAGAGTAGAATTGCTGGGTCATATGGTAGATGTACATTTAATTTTATAACAAATTACCAAACAGTTCTCCAATCTGGTTGTATCATTTTACACTCTCACCTGCAATGAGAGTGACAATTGCTGTACTTCCTTGTCATCACTTATGGTTGTCAATGTTTTTGATTTTAGCCATTCCAGTGGGTGTGAAATGGTATCTTGTTATGATTTTAACTTGCATCTCCCTGATGACCTATACATTCCAAAGTATTTGAAAATAACCCTTGGTCAAAGAATGTATCACAGGGGAAATTAGAAACTATTTTAAACTGAAGGAAAATGAAAAACAAAACATAACTAAGTTGTAAGATACAGCAAAAACAGTGTGCTTTATAAAAATGCTTTATTACAAAGTGCTTATATTGGGAAAAAAAGGAAAAGTGTAAAATTGGTGATCTAAGCTCTTACTTTAAGAAGCTAGAAAAGAACAAATTATATCCAAAATAAATAGAAAAAAATAATGAATATAAATCAATAAAATAGAAAATGGACAAATGATAGAGAAAATGTAAGGTCAAAAGTTGGTTCTTTGGAAGGATTAATAAAATTGATAAATCCCTGGGACTTCCTTGATGGTCCAGTGGTTAAGACTCCATGTTTCCACTGCAGGGGGCAGGGGTTCGATCCCTGGCAGGGGAACTAAGATCCCCACATGCCGCGCCACCAAAAAAAAAAAAGATTAAATGCCTCAAACAGCATTTAAAGAGAATAAAAATGTAAGACTAAAATAGGCATATATTTTTAAAATATTGATAAATCCCTAGCAAAAATAGAGAAAACACAAATAACCAACATCAGGCATAAAAAAGGAACACCATTATATATATATATTTTTTAATTTAATTAATTAATTAATTTGGCTGCATCGGGTCTTAGTTGCAGCACACGGGATCTTCATTATGGCATGTGGGATCTTTTGTTGTGGCACACGGTCTTCTCTCTCATTGTGGCCCCAGGGCATGTGGGATCTTATTTCTGCAACCAGGGATGGAACCTGCATCCCCTACATTGGAAGGGAGATTCTTAACCACTGGACCACCAGGGAAGTCCCTGGGGATCCCATTATAGATGCTACATATAGTAGAGGAAAAATAAGGTATTATGAGTAACTTTATTCTAATAAATTGGATGACCTAAATGAAATGTACAAATTCCTTGAAAAACACAACTTATCATAATGGACACATACATATGAAAGAAATTAAGTTTATTGTCAAACTCTTTCTGCAAAGAAAACTCCAGGGTCAGATGGCTTCACTGGAGAATTCTATCAAATATTTAATGAGGAAAGAAAACAATCCTACACATACTCACGCAGAACATAGAGGAGGAACACTTTCCAATTTATTTTTATTTTGATTATTTTTTTTTTTTTTGCGGTACGCGGGCCTCTCACTGTTGTCGCCTCTTCCGTTGCGGAGCACAGGCTCCGGACGCGCAGGCTCAGCAGCCATGGCTCACGGGCCTACCCGCTCCACGGCATGTGGGATCTTCCTAGACCGGGGCATGAACCCGTGTCCCCTGCATCGGCAGGCGGACTCTCAACCACTGCGCCACCAGGGAAGCCCTCCAATTTATTTTATGAGGCCAGAATAACGTTGATATGAAAAGTTGACAGAGATATTACAAAAAAAGAAAATTATAAACCCTTATCCCTCATGAACATAGATGCAAAAATCTGACCAGTCTTTGATATAGCAATTTCATTCTTAGGAATTTATACCAAAAAGCCCTCTTACAGTTGTACAAAGATCAACTACAGAATATCCACTATAGCAATATATTTTTTTCACTATAGCAATATATATTTTTAAAATTTATTAATTTTATTTATTTATTTATGGCTGCATTGGATCTTCGTTGCTGCGCCCGGGCTTTCTCTAGTTGTGGCGAGCGGGGGCTACTCTTCATTGTGGTGCGCAGGCTTCTCATTGCAGTGGCTTCTTTTGTTGTGGAGCACAGGCTCTAGGCGCGCGGGCTTCCATAGTTGTGGCACATGGGCTCAGTAGTTGTGGCTCATGGGATCTGGAGCAGAGGCTCAGTAGTTGTGGCACACGGGCTTAGTTGCTCTGCGGCATGTGTGATCTTCCCGGCCCAGGGCTCAAAACCGTGTCCCTTGCATTGGCAGGAAGATTCTTCACCACCAGGGAAGCCCTATAGCAATATATATATATATATTTTTTATAGCAATATTTTTAATGGTAAAAATTGGAAACAACTTACATATCCCCCAAAATGTGACAATTAAATATGGTACATTTATATGATTGAATATGTAGCCATTAAAATATAGTAGACATATGTCTTGACACAGGAAAATTCACCATATATTGTTTATTTTAAAAGTAAATTATCAAAAATTTCAGGTGCTTTCACCACACACACAAAAAATGAGATAGAGATGTAGTAATCATAACACTATGTTTATGTATATCAAATCAACATGCTGTACACCTTAAGTACATAAATTTTTTTTAAAAAGGTAGATTACCAAATAGTATAATGGCATGACCCTACATTTTCAAAGAAAAATATGTATATATATATATATAATGGAAAAACACTGAAAGGACATAAGCCAAATGCCAAAAATGGTTAATCATTGGATGATGGGAGTATGGTTGACTTTTATTTCCTTCCTTTTACTTATCTGTATTTCTTGCAACAAATATATATTACTTTTTAATACAAAAAAGTTATTGCTGAAGAAAAATTTTTAAAAATCTGACCAATGGGCATTTTTGTACCTCTCCCATCACAGTTCTCAGGAAGAAAAGATTTAGGACTTTGGACTCTTCCTCTTCACCTTCAACCTAAAACCTGTGCATCTTGGGCGACTGGACACAGCTTTTCCCTCCTTTGACTCACTGGGTCCATGGTGGCCCTGCCCTATGGGTCCAGCCTCTACTCAGTAGATGAGGCAGTACAAGTTTTGCTGCTGATCTATTGTGTGACTTTTGGCAAGATTCTTTTCCTTAGGGACTCCAGTTTCTCCTCTCTTAATCAATGATCTTCAAGGTCCCTTCCAGACAGAGGAAAGAACAGATTTAGAATCAGAAAACCTTGGGGGAGACTTGAGAATGTGGGCATCACCTCCCAAGAAAATATTCCTTACTATTCTTCCGTGTTCCCAGTGTCTCCAGACAGGTAAAAAGCACCTCCCAGCCCAGGCCTTATAAAACCAGTGAGCCTTATATTTCACTAGTCCTGGTGCAGGGTTCGACACAGAGCAGTTGCTCAGTGAACTAGCTTTTTGCCTCCATCTTCTAAAAACAACCCCAGAATAGGTTTTCTAACCTTGCTTTTGATGGTGATTTGAACGCAAGGTTGGTTTTAATTACTGGAGCACACGTTTTGCAAGTTTTTTGTTTTTTTTGTTTTTCTCCCTGAGGTAACAGCTACAGTGCCTATTTGTAACAATTTACCAAGCAGAGCAGACATGTCAGTGGCTGAGACATTCAAACTGTCTCTCAGCTGAGGCCTTTGTCGGAAACACCATTTCAGGGCTGCCTGCGGCGTGCTTGTACAACCACATTCCCGCAGGTGCCCAGGCTGTTGCCACGCGGCTTCCAGGGAGGGATCTGACGAAACTCTCGACTTCAGGGAAGTCCCAGCTTTGCCGCTGTGGAGCTGTGTGACCTTGGACAAGTCCCTTCCTCCTTCAGGAACATTGCAATGGACCTAAGTGCTCTTCCCGGGTCCGTCTATGCTCTGGGGGTGGTCGGGTGATCTGAAAAACATTCGCTTTTAACGTTTATTGATCTCAGATGTCACGCGAATGAGGGACCACAAACAAATAAGGCACTCATCGGTCGTAGCCAGCGAGCTTCTGCGACCCGCACCACAGGTCTCGCGAGATCTCCTCCTTGCGCTTCGCGGCGTCATCGTCTCGGCGGCCGTGGCGGCGACGGCTACATCGCGTAAGGTACTCACAGGGGCGGCCCGTATCCCTCCGCCGCCGGCGCGGCCCAGCCCTCCCTTCCCGGCCCGCCAATCCCCGCTCTCCCAACCTGCCCCTCGGCCTGGGCCCACCCCGCGCTCCGCCTGCCCCACCCCGGCGGCGCCGCCCGCCCGCGCGTCCCTCGGTCCACCTGCAGCAAGCAGTACCTCCGACCGTCCGACCCAGAGGCGCCGGCCGAGCCCGAGGCCTGGGCTTCTGCTCCCTGGCGGAGGGATCCGCGGCGGCTGAGGAGGCGGCGCTGAGCCTAGAAGGAAGAGGCAGCTACCGCGGTGGCGGCGGCGGCGGCTCGGACGGCAGTGCATAAAGGGGCCGCCGCCGGGTGATGCGGTGACCCCTGCGGCAGGCTCAGGAGCCGAGTGGGCCACGGCCCCAAGTCCGTCCCGCCGGACCCGCGCTCCGGAACTCCCCATCTTCTCCGGCCGACCCGCGATCACCGAGGCGGCCTCGCGCCCCCTCGTCCCTTCCCCGTCCCTCCCCTGCCCCTGTTCCCGCCCCGGGGGCCGCCTCCACCTGCCTCCCACGATGGCTCTGAAGAGAATCCACAAGGTAAGCTGCCAAAGGTCGGCTTTGGCGGGTCGGGCTGCCGGGTGGGTCGGCTGAGCAGGCTGCGGCCTGCACTTCCCGCCGTCGCCTCCGCCGGGCTCGCAGCTTCTTTGGACCCGGCTGCCGGCGATGCCCCGGCCGGGCTGCCTTCACACCCCACTCCCAGTGATGGCGCCCACGGAGGCCCGGGCGCGCTGCCCGCGCTTAGGCCGGAGGTATGTTCGCCGGCTCAGCGTTCCTTCCCGGCCTCCTCTCTAGGCCCCGCGTGGTATGGAGTCCCAGGGCCTCTCCCCGGCCTGGGACTGCTGTGCCAGAGGGCCATTGTCCAGCCGTGCCGGGAGGGGGTGCTGGGACTGGGGCGTTGGGCGGCCCCATCGACGGAGGTCGAAAGGGCTCTATGCCCCATCTCTGCCCATAAAACCCCCACCCCCACTTGCCTAGGCTCCCTCCACAGAACCGCTTGAGCTTGGGGCCCGTATCTCAGGCAGACTGAGGAAGCCTTTTTGTCCGATCCACAAATATTTCTGGAGTTACTTGCCTCTTAGTGGCCGCACGCTTCGGTCCACTTAACTCGTCCAGAAACTGTTAAGAGTAGGAAGTTCAGGAGGAAATAAACATGACTTTTATGAGGCAGGAGAGAAGTAGAGGGAGAAGCGTTTTATTCCTTGAGGTTGCCAAATGTAGTCAGAAACTGACACTTCAGTTTGCAGGAATGGATTTAATAGAAAAGCTGTTAAATTGTCAAGGGTAGAGGTAGAAACCTGAAAGTTGAAAACCACTGGAGAGAATTTCATAAAGTTTCATTTTACATTCTCTTCGCAAAACGGATTTTAACGCTTAAATTAGGTGATATGTTCAGGGAGATCCTTTTAATGTAGGAGGTATTTTGCTACCTTTTTCCATTAGGAAGGATTTCTTTGCCCTTTAGGATGAAGGGTTATTTATTTGTAGTTGCCTCTACAGAGGTTTTTCTAATATTGCTCTGGAGTATGGGCTTAGCTTAAAGTTTAGGGTTTTTTCCCTTCCCTCTAATATTGTAACCTCCTATTACCTCTCACTATCTTTTTTTCCTTCTTCTCAGAAGTGGGGAAGCGGCACTGGTGATTTTTGTTTGGTGTTTCACTTGGCTACTTGGAGAGGCTGTATTAAACCTCTAGCCAGTAAGAAGTAGATCCTGGGATTATCCATCCTAAAGGATGGGATAGAGATGCAAGGGGAAGAGAACCAATTTTCACCTTGCCTTAAACTCAGTGAAAATGCAGGTTTGGTCAGTTTAAACACCTCAGCTCAGCAGCTTGTCTTCGTTTCATTCTTGATCAAAGACCTTTAATGTGGAATTAATCCCAATGGTTACTGTAAATTAGGTTAGATCCTCACCAACTTCTTTTGACTTTGATTTCTATCAAATGAAAAAGGGCAGACTTTAAACAGAGTAAATCTACTAAAATGAAGCAGGTTATTTGTTAAAAGAAGCTTGAACTTTAAGCAAAGATCTCTTAACCATTTAAGGAGCAGGAGCACACTGAGGACAGGTCTTCCAAGTAAATAATACATATGCATTTTTAAGGCTTTAAGGAGTTATGAGATTTTAAAGACTAATTGAGAAGTTATCAATTTGAGATTATACGTGTGCAAGATTGTGGCCTTATTTTTAAAACCTGAAGAAGAGTGAGTATAATGTGTGATCACTTACAGATCAAGAAATGTAGCCTTTAATCTCTACTCTGATATGTATGTTATGGAGGTTTTTTCAGAAAAGGAAATAGCACTCAAAACATGCATTTTAATCTTCTAATATCCTTGCCTCCAATAATATGATTTCTTTTGAATACTACATGTTCTCTAGATTTTCTCTAAAAGATGCCCTTATTAAAATTTTAATAAGGAAAATCAAGTGTACACAATGATAATTTGAACTTTTAAAACTCAGTATTAACCTTTTTTCACCTGGTTTATAACCTAGAGCCATCCTCAAAGTATGGCTCAACTTCTGAGACTGCCAGGGATTAGAAAAATAAAATTTATTTTTGGTGTACATACTAGTCATAGTCAATAAGATTGTGAAAACAAAATGGAGATTTTTTTCCCCTAACTTTTTGTATGACACCAATTTTAAATTGAATGCAGACTTGGATAAGACCAGTCCTATCTCACCCTCAGACCTAGTAATGTATCTGCGATGGAATCCCCCAAAGACATACTTGGCTTACATAACTGATCTTGGTCTTGAACCTTCCCAGTTACTATTCTCTGAGAAAATAGTTCTGCTTAAATACCTCTCAACTTCAGATATCATGAACTACTGCATCTGGGTTCTAATAAAATTTTATTAAGAACAAATGCTTTTGACATGTGGCATCTTTAGGAATTCAGTATCTTGTGTTTCATTGACAGAGGGAAATAGTGTTCTGTGAATCTGACAGTCCTTTAAATGCCATGACTTTTTTGGAAAAAGCTTTTGGTGGACTTTATTTTGATATATACTTTAAGGTCAACTGACCTATGCTTTAACAGAGTTTACCAAAGAGGTTTCATATTGAACATCCATTGTAGTTGTGTGCAGGGATTGGGACCCTTTGGGATTGTTTGTATCTACACCAAATGGCCCCAGCCTGCTACATTTTGAGGTTTTCTGCTGACATTATCAGTCTTCAGCTTTGATTTTGATGCTTTGAGTGTCTGCCTCTAGCAGCACCACCCCCAGCCCTTTTCCAGTTGGCTGCGTCTCATCTGTTGTGGGCTGGGAAACCAGATCACTGAGCTTATTAAAATTATGTCTAAAATAAGATCCAGTAGGCTCTGAGTGAAGAGGGCTTCATGTGTTCTGTGAACTGTGTGGTCTGACTGATCAGAGACCTTTTTTTACTTGCTTCCTGTTTTTCTTCTTTACCTTTGTTATACAGATGCAGGAAGCTTTTTGTTGCTCTTAGCGTGCCATGATATTGAAATACAAGGTTAATTTCTTTATTTTGAGGAAGGGTAAAAGGCTGAATATCATGATTCTTTGAAGAATTGAAGACAGACCAAAGTTAAGATACTAAAAAGCTCTTAACAATGATAGTGCCTTGTACATTTTAATGGTGTCGTGCTAGTTATAGTTAACATTTGGAATACATAGCTTTAACGCCAGGGCTATCACTTGATTTACTGTATTTCTATGATTAAAGGTCTTAAGGCCCCTGAAAAGCCCAGTCAGTCAATTTTCCAGTAAAATAAAGATTTCAAACTCTGATGGCTAGGCAGGTGACCACAGTGAGCAAAGAGAATTGGAGGGAGCTAGAAATTGCATGTGTTATTAGAAGAGGGCAGCTGCTATTCAGCCCCCTCCAAATGTTGCTATTGCCAGGATCTGTGCCCAAAGTTGCCAGATTTTTTTTTTTTTAAGGGAAGCCACAAATCCAGATTTTTGGCAGCCAATTCAAATTAAAAACAACAAAAGCAAAAGACACCACCACACTTTTTTGTAGATTGGTAGGCACCAGTTTAGTATATGAATTAAAAATAACCAAAAATTGAGGTTCAGCAAGTAACCAGGAGTGTAAGGATTAAATCATTTAAACCATACTTTGTCTTTTTAAAAGTGTCAAAGTATTGTTTTATGTAAATGGGTACAATTAAGTATCAGTAGTTTTTTGTAAACTTCTAATTAACTTATTTGGTGAAGTTTTATATGGTTATAGTCATAGGAAAAGCCAATTTAGTAGATGCATTGATCCCATGGTAGAAGTTTACATCTTAACTCTTAACTTCATTGTGATCCTGTTTCATGTTATGAATCATCTTTCTGTAGACTACATACTTTCAAAATGTCTAAGATTGCCAGTTACCAAAGGGTGATTTTTAAGGATATGGGAAAGGAGTTGTAACATTGTAACAGTACTAATTTTAAGATTATTTTAAAATACTGTACTAGAAGTGTGATATCATACATTGCATTAATCTTATCAGAGGTAAGGATCCAGTGAATTCCAGTCAAAATGATGAAACAAATTAGCAAATAGTCTTGAGTATTTGGAACTTCAGTATAATAAATGGTTGACAGAAGATGACTGTTTGAATTAGTTTTATCTTAGAAAGCAGACATTCTTTTTATTTATTTATTTATTTGGCTGTGTTGGGTCTTCGTTGCTGCGCACAGGCTTTTCTCTAGTTGCGGCGAGTGGGGGCTACTCTTCGTTGTGGTGCGTGGGCTTCTCATTGTGGTGGCTTCTCTCGTTGCAGAGCACGGGCTCTAGGCGTGCGGGCTTCAATAGTTGTGGTACACGGGCTCAGTAGTTGTGGCTTGCGAGCTCTAGAGCACAGGCTCAGTAGTTGTGGTGCACGAGCTTAGTTGCTCCACGGCACGTGGGATCTTCCGGACCAGGGCTCGAACCCGTGTCCCCTGCATTGGCAGGCGGATTCTCAACCACTGCGCCACCAGGGAAGCCCCAGACATACCTTCTTACTACAAAAGATAAGCTTCTTGAAATCTCAGGGAAGATTTTTATTTTTTCCTTTAGAAAAGGATTCTTTGTTTCGCAAAGGTTCATTGAATTGAGAAACTTTATTTGGCTCTTCTGGGTTGCTATTTAAATGTAATTTAAACAGCCGTCATTAACTTAATAAATCTAGGGTTTTTTTTTAAGTCTCCCAGTGTGTATTACTGTACTGCTGACTGACAAGGAGGAAGTTTTGACAAAGCCCAATTCTGGATATTTTAGTCCATAGAGAGAGGGCTGCTAAAATATCCTAGGCAGTTCCCAGGATAGGAATACCTGACTCATGCCTGATGCTGCCAGCAACCTCTGCAGCCTCATCCCAGAAATGAAGGAGCACACTTGTTTTTTCTGTAGAAATAAAATTTTGGTGGTTAGGTTCCCAGACTAACCTTCAAAATCATGTTAAACTATGACATAGGAAATAAAGTACCATTTGTTCTTTTGTCTGCACAGTCAAGTGAGATTTCAAGTAATAGAATCAGAAAATTTTAGCACTGCATCACCTCTCAGAGCTACTGTCTGAAA